AGTTGCTGTTGAGGAGACTGTAAGGAAATGAGAGCTAGTGAGCTGGCAAGAGTGTTAACTGAGGCCTCCTAGAGAGCAGTGTGACCTTGTGCACCCAAACAAAGGATGTCACAGGCTCAGGCCCAACACTTCCAGGCCATGGGATTTATTCTTAGCCTAAGGCAATGACCAAACTAGTGCAGAAAAATATTATATATCAGACCAGACGTGTGGCTCAAGTGGTAGAGCGCCTGCTTTGCAAGTGCGAAGCCCTGAGTTCAAACCCCAGTCCCACCAAAAAAAAAAAATTACATAACATGGTTAATACAAGCTGAGGGTACTTGCCTCGTATGCCCAAGGTCCTGGATTCAAGCTCCAGCAGCATGAGGGGAGGGAAGGGAGATGGTCAGCACAGAGTGATAATAATAAAAAATTAAACCCTTAGTTGCATCGAAAGGACATTGAAGGATTAAATTTATTTGTTATAACCATGCAGTGGTACGCTATGGAGCCACACTAAAAATAGGTCACAGATATAAAACTGTCAAGGAAAGATGCCATCATATACCAGATAAAACAAAGAGGCTCCAAAGCAAGACATACATCATCCTAACTGTGTAAGACTGTGTAACTAAGCATGTTTATTCGCATATAAGAATTTCCAGTAAAATACAGACATATGTCATCCCTTTTTCCTAAGACTGTGTATCTAAGTATGTTCATTTACATGTAAGAATTTCTGCAAAGATATACCCCAGAATTTTACCAGTGATTAACTTCATTTATTTTGCAGTGCTAGGTATCAAACTCAGAGCTCTGCGCAGGTGCTCTACCACTGAGCTACAGTTCTAGCCGAACAATGGTTGGTTAATCTTTGAATGACTTCGTCTACACAGTCATTCTTCTGTATCTGTGAGACCTCCTTTGGACACCAAAATCTTTGATTACAAATTTATCAGCCAGCTTAGTCTCAGCTTTGCTGCATTATGACCTGGTATGACCTGGTAAACCAGCACATGTTAATTTCTCTCTCCTGCTCATGTCTACTGATGTTGGCTGCCCTCCTGCCCACCATCGGCTCCACTCTGGGACCCAGGCTGACAAAGTAGTCAGTATTTGAGCATTGCAAGTCACCATGACAGGTCAGTGGTTCACTCACCTGTTTTTACAACTGGGGCTGGGCACATCTCATAGCCCTTCCCAAGTTCAATAAAACAGGGGTGTATGATCTTCCTGCAGGCCTCTGAAAGGGAAACTTCCAGGAGTGCTGCAAACACTGTGAACAATAATGCAGTCTCCCACAGAAGTTATTTCATTCTGTGACATTAAGTTCCTTTCTTTGAAGAATGGATCAGGAGAGAAAGCAGTTCTATCCCAGGAAGTGGACAATGTCACAGAGGTGGGGCCTGAGTAATGGGAGTTTTCACTGTTAGAGCTGATCGAGGAGGGGAAATAAGAGTGGGCCCTTCTACCTATGGGTTCTACATCTGCATATTCAACCAAACGCCAATGGTGAGTGTTCAGGGGAAACATGCATCTGTACTGAACAATTTACAGACTTTTTCCCTTGTCGTTATTCCTTAAATAATACGGTATAACAACCATTCACATAGTTCTTTCATTGGATTAGCTGCTGTAAGTAATCTAGAGATGGTTAAAAGTACGCAGGAGGATGTGTGTGGGTTGTAAGTGAATACCACACCATTTTATGGAATGGACTCGAGCACCCACAGATTTTGGTGTCCAAAGGGGGGTTTCACAGATACAGAGGGATGACGGTCTGTCAAGCAGACAGACTGGAAAGAGGTCAGGCTTTTGCCTAATTTAAGAGGCAGGCCAATAGAGTAAGTATAAAATGATGGAACAGAAAGTTCTGAATCTAACAGAAAGTTCTAGATATTATGCCAGCTCTGCTCCTTACTAGTCATGCTCCACATAACAATGTGCCAGCTGACATCCTAGACATCTTAGTTTGTGTAAGTATACTCTATAAAAGGATGAAACCGCCTAACAGGTTTTTTTTGTTTGGGGGTTTTTTGGGGGTGAGGGCAGTACTAGGGTTTGAACTTAGGGCCTCAGGCTTGCTAGGCAGGTGCTCTACATTTGAGCCATGCCCCAACCCCTTGTTTTTTTGTTTTTTCTTGAGACAGGATCTCACTATGTAGCCCAAGCTGGCCTCCTTGAACTTGCAGTCCAACTGCTTTGTCCTCTCCAGGGCTGGGATTACAGGCCTGGGCCACCACACTTGGCCTCTAACAAGGCATTTTTCAGGACATGTCCACATTGTTAAATGACACATGACTATTTACGGGACTTGAACCAAGCTAGACAACCTCTTTGAATATCTCCATCTGTAAAATGGAAATTAAAATAGCTGCCTTGCCTGTTTTACATAGGAGGAAGGCTCAACTGCAGGGCTTAAAAATTGTCAATACTTTTTTTTTTTTTTGACAGTTCTGAGGTTTGAACTCAGGGCCTTGTACTTGCTAGGCAGGTGCATTACCGATTGAGCCACACCCCAGCCCCATCAGTGCTCTTCTCACACATAGTACCTGTCCTCAACTTCTCTCAAAGTGGGCATTCACCCATTTTACTTATGCCCAAGGAGAGCAGGAGAGAAGATGGGATCAAAGTTGCAATATGGAGGAGGAGTACTTTTCCATGGACAAGCCACACTGTCCTATCTAGAAGTAGACATGTGCCTTCCTCCTGACCCCAGCCTCTGAGGATGAAAGGAAGAGAGGGAAGTAATCAGTACTTCCCAAACCAGACCAATCACTGAAGTAAGGAAGTGTTTGACACTAAATAGATTCCTGAGCTCTACCTCCTGGAGGTTGTGATTCACCTGGCAAGGATGGGACCAGCTGAGTCATGGAAGGTGATGTGGGCCACTCTGACCTGGCCTTGGCAACCATCCAGCCCTCTGTACAGGCTTCATGAGGCACCCCAGCAGGGAGGGCCCAGACATCTCAGGTGGCATGAGTCCTGGCAGTGGGAAGAAACCTGAGTGGGCACAGGTTATCTGATGGCACACCTGCTGTGGCCCAGAACTAGCCTCAAATATCAAGATTAGGGGAAGGCACATGAAGAGGTGTCCCTGGGCAATACAGGTCACCAGCAAGCACCCCAGGTCCCAGGGTCAGGCTTGTCAGGCCCCAGGACACAGGAGTTGGTAAGGAAAACACATCCCCCTTTTCTTACTCCTAGCCCTCAGAACCAAATGTGCCCCAGGCTCCCACAGCTGCCTACACACCCTGACTGACAACCCAGGGGTTTATCTCTTTCCACATCTATCAACACAGAAGCGAGTTCCTTGAAGGCTGGGCCAGGTCTTATTCTTCTCTGTGTGCCCAGTGTGGTGTATGGCACAACACTGGTGCTAGATGAATAGCTCATGAATAAACGAGAGGGAGTGACACTTACTGTGTTACCACAGGGTCAAAGAAGGACTGACATTCACACCCACAGGCAAACAGGAAATGCACATGCTTACCTCTGACGGGTGGGGGGAGCCCCATCCTTCATCACTCACTGGAGGCTGAGCCTAGCATTCCTTGATGTGCAGTGATCCTAAATTACTTCTGGCATCATGGTACCCTTTGACAGAAGGTATTAAAACTATAGAGCCCTAGACTGAGAATGTAGCTCAGTGAATCTCTTCCCTGGAAAACGCTCCCCTTCCCTCTCTCTTTCTCCATGTCTTTCTCTTTCTCTCCTCTCTCTCTCTCTCTCTCTCTCTCTCTCTCTCTCTCTCACACACACACACACACACACACACACACACACACACACACAAACATCTTGAATACAATTTCCAGGTGAAGAGAATCAACCCTTCAAAAAAGAGGGAAAGCAAAGACCAGGAGTGTGTCTCAGGGGTAGAGCAATTGCCTAACATGAGCAAGGCCCTGGATCTGATCCCCAGCACTGCAAAATAGATAAATAAACCAAAAAACAAACAAGTAAATAAATAAATAACAGCTCTTTTTTATGGACAAATGCCAGTTAATGATAGGAATGACAGAGTCAGAAATGAACATTCTGTAACCCTCAAGAACTGAACTGACTAAGGACCATGAACAGATCCTAAAATCGTTGGGCAACTGATCACAGGGCATAGAATATTGTCTTGGTCCCAAGATATCACACCACCGATGATAAGCTTCTTAATATCAAGAAAAAATACAGCTGCACAACGGGGCAAGAGGGCATCAACCTCCTTACTCCAGTAATCAAAACCAGCACCATTGACAGTGGATCTTGCATCATGATCTTGAGCTACACAACACCTACATAGTATTCTTGCTAAAACCAATCACCCTGAATCCAATCCTTAGATTTCTACAAGACACATGGCCTTAAACTCAATGGTTTTGTAAATTCCTAATGGTCTATTAAATCTCTTCCTGCTTAAGATACCTGGAGGGGATTTTGTTTTCCTAACTCATATAGCTGTCTTAGGATCTCACTCCAGTGAGGAAGGTTTCTTTTACTGAGGCAATTCTCTATAGAAAGACTTCCAAACACTGGTCATTATTTGGTGTCAAAAAGCCAACAGAAGCTGGTATGGATGGTGAGCAATTCCTGGCTCACCCATGCTGGTCTGTGAGTCCTGAGATGCTGGGTTGGGTGCCAGCTGCCAGACCAGAAATGTCCTACCATTCACCTCACTGTAGTCATTCCCCTAGGTATACCAGGGCCAAGCAATGACCACTGGAAGCAGAGGTGACACGTGCCAGCTGAGAAGAGATGCATACAGTGCCAAGTCTACATGGCATTGCCTGGGATATAGGAACAACTGATCATCCTTCTGTCACAGGTGAGGGTACTCTCTGCTGCCAGGCCTCTTGGAGTAGAGGCAGAAGGGTCAGCAGCAGAGAGTCCAGCACAGCCAGACCCTTCCAGGAACAGCGGAGACCCCTAGAAAACCAAGAGGTTGAATGTGACTGCTTCATTGTACTGGTTTTAGCCCACCCTTCCCATGCAAGCCCTCATCACCCACAGGTACCCTCCCTGCCAGTCTTTCTTGCTTTTCCCAGGCTTCTGGATCTGTAGTCAGGGCTCCCCAAGACCTCTAAGTCCCCTGTCCCACTGCTCCCAACACACCTGTGGTCCAGCAGCAACAGGCCCTGTTGTAGCAGCTCCTTCACCTCCCTGCTCGCTCCAAACACATCCCACAGAGTTAGCTGGGGCTCAAACCGCTGCCAGTGCTGAGAAACCAAAAAAAGTCAGAGGTGACAAGCTGGCTGAGCTACTCTAGGCTGTGTGTGTGGCCTGGGAGTGGTAAAGGGTAAGGAAGGGTCCAGTCCAGTATCTCAACAGCCAACGCTCACGAACACCAGGACAGGTCCATGGGCCAACAGAGGTGGGGACTTTTACCATGATTGGACATTCAGGCCAAAACCCACCTCCCAGCCAAGTCAGGTCTCCTGCTTTTCCACTCTTCCCCACCTCCTGCCAGTGAGGGTATGCCTGCCCCAGCCCCGGCTTTGGGGCCTGGACTTCATGGAGAGCAGCTTGGAGTGTGATCAGACATTATCTATTGCACTTCCTACCTGAGGTCTAGGGCTGCTTAAAAGCATTGGCAAACACTTTGTCGAGTCTATTCCCATGAAGCTGAGAAAATTGAATTCAAGGATTTGTGCTCAAGGTTGCTGTAGAACAGGGTCTCTGCAGCCCTAGTTTAGTGTTCTGACCATTGCATCACACTGCTTACTGCTTCTGCCATCAGGCCTCAGTTGGACTAAGGCCCAACCTCCAGCTGCCAACCCAGAGGAATGGAAGGGGTAGGAGGGCATACAGGAGTGAGTGAAGGGGGGAAAAGAGAGACACACAGAGACAGAGAAAGACTGATTCTGCAAGAGTAAGGAGGATCAAATGGAATGCAAGAACCTCTAGTCTCTTACCTGGTAGTGATCCCCACATCAGTGCGTAGCCCCAGGGCCACACACTCCTCCAGCCTGAAAGAAAAGTCACCAAAGGGTCTTAAGAGAGGACACCTATGCCTCTCCCATTCTCCAACCCCAGTGCTGGGATGTGTCAGTGGGGGGTAGTAGGGATCATGCAGTCTGGAACAGGGTGGGAGGGGACCGAGACAGGCAACAAAGATGTTCACATATAGGTGCTCCTGGGATGGTGGGGGACCCTGAAGAGCCCCGTGCCCTTGGATGCTCACAGCTCCAGCTTGCTCAGGGGGACACGCTTCCGGGTACCATGACCAAACAGCATCACCTCCTTCATCCAGTTGTCAGGCTCCAGCGTCTGGATCCGAGCTTCCCGGACGTAGCCTTCAGCCCCATGGGGCATAAATCGGCCATGAGCCCCTGACAACATCAACAACACCCCACATTATTAATGGGAGCTAACGCTGCACTTATCAGATTTCAATCCGTGTTTCTCAGCGTGTGGGCCAACATTTAACGTGAAAATAACAACACTGAACATGTAAATTCTTGGGCCCTACTCTAGCCCTGTCCAGTCAGAAATTCTGGAGCTCAGGCCCAGCATTCTAGTTTGTCACAAGCCCTTCAGGGGATTCTGACCTATGCTACAGATTCAGAGTCACAGTGACAGGCAGTACCTCAAGGACCTCAAAATACATACGAAACAGTTCTACAAGGTGGGTGTTTTTTGTTGCTGCACTTTATATGAGAAAATAAAGGCTTGGAGAGGTAGCCCAAGTTCACACAGCCATGTTATTCCTCTCCTGAGTCATCTGTTCTGCAGTTCACAGGGACTCACCAGGCCCAATGCCAAGGTACTGACCACACTGCCAGTAAGTCCAATTGTGGGTACTGAGCGCCCCCTGTGGGGAAGGAGGGAACAGTCAGCACAGAGAGAGGAGGATGCCCTTTCTCTGACCAGGTAATGGGCACCTAGTTAGGATGTTCCACTGTCTCAGGCCTGAGCACACCCAGTTAGGGACTCTTCTCTTCAGAGGGCCCAGGCTCCCCAGTCACACTTCAGCCTCCATCGCACACCTGAAACCATCAGCCCCAGCACTCACATTCCTGGCGAAATTGGAGACTTCATACTGACGGAAGCCAGCCTCCTGAAGGATGGCCCGACCTTCCTGGTACATCTCAGCAGCAAGCTCCGGGTCTGGTGCAGGAAGGGTGCCCTGCTGTACCTGGGCAAAGAGTGCGGTGCCCCGCTCCAGGGACAGCTGGTAGAGGGAGAGGTGGTCGTCACAGTGGCGCAGCAGCTCCTGCAGTTGCCCGAGCCACGGCCCACCTTCTGTGCTGGCAGCCCCAGCATCAGGTCCACAGATACACGGCCAGGGAAGAGACGCCGGGCCTCTGCCAACGTCTGCAGGGCATCCCTGGCCGAGTGTGTCCGCTCCAGCAGCTGCAGCTCAGTGTCGTCCAGGGACTGGGGAGAGAGGGGTCAAGTATAAGCATGGTGGCCAGCTCAGAGGGACGCGGGAATGATCCACCTTTTTGCAGGCACAGGTATGGGGAAAGGGTACATGGAACGGGGAGGAAGATGTGTAGCAGCCATAGTCAAGACAGTACCCAGGGCTGTTCACTGAAGACTGAATTTAATCCTTATAACCCTCCAATATTCGCTCCCTTTTACAGATGAGGAAAGGTGAGGTTCAGAAACATTAAGTAACTGGCTTGAGGCCAAACAATTGTAAAATCAGACCGGCATTTCCGATTGTCTGACTCCAAACTCAACAGCATTTTTTCCCCTCTCCCGCTTTACTCTTTATTTAGAAACAACGTAAGCCTAAATAAAAGCAACATTTGGCCACATTTACTTTTTCTCTAAATATGCATATATATCATTGTTACTAGGTTCAATTAGTTAAGAGTGAGCTATAGACCAGCAATGTCTAAAAGAACTTTCTGTGCTGATGAAATCTTCTATGTCTGTTCTGCCCAATACTGTAGGTACTAGACACAAGTGAGTTAAGTAAGTTTAAAGAGCCACAAGAGGGTGCTGATGGCTCACACCTGTAATCCCAGCTTACCAGGGAGGCAGACATCAGGAGGATAGAGGTTTGAAGCCAGCCTGGGCAAACAGTTTGTGATCTCAAAAATACCCAACACAAAAAAGGACTGGTGGAGTGGCTCAAGTGGTAGAGCGCCTGCCTAGCAAGCGTGAGGCCCTGAGTTCAAACCCAGTACTGCCAAAAAAAGGGAAGTCACCTTATGCTTACTTAATACACAGCACATGGCTACTGTGAGACTAGTGGCTACTGTGTTAGCCAGCAGAATGTGTATGTAATATTCCTTAACTCCTAAATAAACACAAGGGCATTCTCTTACATAGCCACATCCAATCACACAGCACCGGAAGTGTAAGACTGACACACCATTATCTCACACACAGTCATACTCAAGTTGGGCCAGCTGCCCCACTAATGTCTACTGTTGTCATTTCCTTCCTCCCCAACCAGGGCTCATGCATTGCATTCAGCTCTCAGTGTCTTCTGTCGTCTCCTTTGTTCTAGATTTTTAGACTTGACATTGATTTTTTCAGAGTACAGGCCAGCTGGTTTTGAAAATGTCTCCTAATGAATAAGTGCTAGAGATTGGAATTATAAGTAGCAACACTGTACTGTACGCATAAAAATTTCTCAAGAGGGAAGTTCTCATGCTATCTTGTTTTCACCATAAAAATAAAGTCTTTCTTTCTTTGTGGTGCTGGAGATCGAGGGGACCATGCTAGGCAAATGTTCTAGCACTGAGTCACACCCCTAGCCCCAAGGGTCTCTTACCTGATGTTTCTTCACAATTCGTTTCAAGATACCCATTTTTGACAAGACTATCTCAAAAATGATGTGTTCCTTCCAGTCACCCTTCAGTGGCTCCCCTATTACAGGAGAAAACTCAAACTCTTCCGTATTTGCTCACAGCTCTCAGGTCCCACTGGGCAGCCTTGTCCCCAACCCCTCCCATCACAAGGAATGAGTCACAGAATCCTCCTCCCCATGCCCGATGCAAAGCTCCATATCCTGTCTTTTCTTCCTACACCCTCTTATCTGGCGAATTCCTCCTCCTCCTTCTTCAAAGGTCACTTCCTAAAGGAAGGCTTCCATGATTTCATCAGATTGAGTTGCCCTTCAGGCTGTACTCTGCAAGCCTTTTGTAGAGACTCCATTTATTGTTTATGTTTATATTTTATTTTATTTTAGCATTACTGGGGCTTGAACGCAGGGTGAGCACCCTATGCTCTCTACCACTTAAACTATGCCCCCCAGCCCTAGAGAGCTCCCTTCTAGGCAGCATTTACCATGCCACAATGGTCTAGCTACATGCCTGCCTTTCCCTGTGTTTCCAATCATGTAACAAATATTTTTAAGCACCTATTACATGGCAGGCACTATAATGGGGGGCTGGAACACAAAAAAAGCATGCCTCCTGATTTATGGACCAGTATAGCAACAGACAACTGGACTAAGCAGTTACCAAAGTCTCACCATGCTTGCCCAGTGACTGAACACCACCAGAAGGGAGACAGCCCTGAAAGTCTGGGGACCCTGGGATGGGGTGGGTGACATGGGTTACCTGAAGGCCAATAGACAACCTGTTGACTCCCGCTGCCCCAAAGCCTGCCAGCTTGGGGCTTGGGGCTGAAGTGGGGTTAGCCTCCAGTGTGACTTCCGAGTCTGCAGGCAGGTGGGCTGCCTGTGCCACCGCCTCCAGGACAGCGGCCACGGTGTGGGGGCTGGCCAGACTGGGGGTCCCACCACCAAAAAATACAGAGTCCACCCTAAGGGAAGAGGATGAAAAAGGTGAGACCTGGAGGAAACCCCTGGGATATCTTGTACCTGTCATGTTCACTCCACTCTCAAACAATCCCCAAGACCCTGTCTACAGTACCCCCCAATACCCACCGTCGCACTCCGCTGAACCGCAGCAGCGTCTGCGCCTCGATCACCAGACAGTTGCGCATGGCCGCCTCCTCCACACCGCGGGGGATGTACTTATTGAAGTGGCAGTAGCTGCAGCGCTTCTCACAATAGGGCCACTGGGGACAGGGGGGACATGTGAGGGTTGATGCATAACTGAGGCTGCCCTGGCCACCTCCAGGCTTCATCACACATATCCCTGTCCTCATTGTGAGGTTCGTCAACAGTGACTGCGACATCTAAGCCACTCTAGTCCAGGTATATCGCGCTGGGATTATAATGCCCACTTCACAATAAGAAAACTGAGGCTTAGAAGGAAAACCACTTGGTCAAGGTCACCAAGCTGGTGAGTACCAGCGACTTAAGGTTTCCAGACCAAGACATTTCTCTAACCATACTAGATCTCATCTAGGGGTTAGGGAAAACAGCGAGTGAGCTCACGGCGTGACAAGTGACACTTGGATGAGGGCCACTGCCGCCCTGCGCCCTGCCCCCGTCCACTCACATGCACGTAAAGCGCAGCGCGCTGGCTCGCAGGCGGAGGACTGGGGGACTTTCCTGTGCCGTCCATGCGGTGGCGCCTCTGAGCCGCTTTGGCAGCTGCCACATAGCTGCGGCCCTGCCCGGGAGAGAACCATGGCTTGCAACGCGGCGGGGGCAGGGATCCGAGCCGAGGCGCACCCAGAGCGCACGGGTATGCACGGAGCTGGGCCGCATGGGTCGCCCGGGCGGAAGGAAGAGCTGCGTGACCTTCCGCCGCCGCCTCCGACCGCGCGCCGAGAGCCCGGGGCCTCTGCTCTACCGCGCCACCTGCCGGACGCCGGTGTGCTAGGCACAGCCGCCCGTCCGTCCTTTCCCTGGGACGTGGGAGGGACCTGCTGCTGGGGCTTCCAGTTCCCTGACCCACCCAGCAGCCTTTAGATCGTTCAGTCAGTTCCTTCGCATTTTAAGTGTCTCGCTCAGAGCTGAGCGCTGGGGACACCTAGGTGCATAAGGTCAGATCTCAGTCTGACCAGGCAAGAGACAAACAAATTAGTTCAATGCCTGCTGGACACGAGGCCTGTGAGCTTGGATTGTGAGGTCTGTTAGAGCCTGGAAGTCAGTGTGAAGAGAGGGCTCAGGCTAGATGTTAGAGGAACAGAAACTCCCAGGCGGAATTTCTTCTTCTGTGCAGGCCGAACCAGGCACCTGCTGGAAGGAGAGGCGGAGATGGTAATGACCAATCACGACCAGGTGAGGGTCTGAGAAAGTAGGCCCCTGGAGAACTCTCTCAGAGTGGAAAGATCAAGAGCTTTGGATTCTCATAGTGCAAAGCAGTTCTGGTAGCCTGGGACTATCTCAGTTATCTCCCCGTTTCTGGCTTGTACTCAAGAATAACTCCAATGTGCAGGAAGTGCTGCATCCTGAGGCAAGGAGGGACTGGCCAGAACGGCCCAGGCTGTGTTCCAGTCTCTTCTGGAAACAAGACGTCCTTCATTGCTTTAGCCCAACCTCACATGGCCTGAGGGTATAAGCCAAGGACAGCTGGTGGCTGCCTGCTCAGTGCAAGTCACAGATAAGACCCCATCCACACTAGGCAGCTTTCCTGAGCCTTGGGGCACTGGCTTAATGTGACTCCTAGACTTCTGCTGTCCCTTGCTGTCTATCTATAAATAATACACCTGCTTCATGTAATGTGTGTGGATGTTCTAATCCCAGCTGTGTGACTGTACATATAACAGAGAAAAGATCTAATTCTGCTGCCGCCTGATAAAACTAGTGACTCGGAAGACAGTGATGGGAGAAGAAACAGCTTTGTGAATAGGCCCACTGGAAGATGGTGAGTGGAACACTTCCAGTGACCATCTTGCTGTTAAACCTAAGTGTGAGCCTTTTATGCAATTTTGCAAGGTCCTAGACAGGTGGACACAAGACTCATTTATTAGTTTTGGTTTTGCAAAGGTCAGTGATAGTCCCAACCCTGTGAATCTAAAGCAAAACATAAATGGGGCTGGGAGCGTAGCTCTAGTAGTAGTAAGGCATCTGCCCAACAAATGCAAGGCCCTGAGTTCAAAGCCAGTAATAAAAAAGAAAAAAGATCACAACATAAATTCTGTGGGTGGTTTTTGTTATGGACAATTCCTACTCTGTGCTCTTCCAGCTGTCATCCCTCCAGGGAGTATAGCATGTTTCTAGCTAACCTTGCTGCAAAGTTTAATCAGGCAAGAAGAAAACAAAATGTAAGTCTTGGGGGAGAGAATTTAACTTGTGCTTGGAAGATTTTTCTTTAACCTATCAGGTGGCTTGGGCAAGATACTGAAGTTCCCTGTGTTTCAGTCATCATCTGTGAAGTGGGTCCATGCCTACTTGATGAGGTTGTTGGGAAGAGATCAAGAGGAGAGGTGTGTGGTACACCTGGCCCTTAGAGGAGCCTAAACATACACTTGTTTCCTTTTGCTTTTTGCTGGGCTTTGAACTCAGGGCCTTTTACTTACTAGGCAGGTGCTCTACCCCCTTGAGCCATGCCCCCAGACCTTTTTGCTTTAGTTATTTTTTTTAAATTGTTTTCTTATTCATATGTGCATACAACGCTTGGGTCATTGCTTTAGTTATTTTTTGAGTTGGGCTTTGAGTTTATGCCTGGGCCGGCCTGGACCCAGTCCTATTTACATTTCTCTCACAACTGGAATGACAGGCATGTGCCTCCCTGCCCAGCTATTGGTTGAGAGGGGAGAATGTTTTTGCCCTGGCTAACCTTGAACCTCAATTCTCCCAATCTCTACATCTTCATTTCTTAAAAAGTAAGGAGGCAGCAGCTGTTGCTGGAGGCAGACATGCTGGGAGGTAAGGGTTACAGGCAGGAGGAAAGTTTCTATCTCTTCCTACTGGGAACTGAAACTGAGGGAAAACATGAGTAAATCCTCTAGTTCTCCTACTTTTAGTTAACTTTAAAAATGGAGCTAGGGATACAGCTCAGTGGCAGAGCACTTGCCTAGCATGTGTGAAGCCCTGGGTTCTATCCCTAGCACAACAAAAAAACAAAAACAAAATTTTGGAGGTCACATAACTGAGTAATCTCCCACTTGCTTTGCTGAAGTAAGTGTGGGTCATGACATTAACAGTTGCCTACATTACTTTTCTGGGCCCTGAAGGTCACTTTTGTTGAAACCCTCTCTTCATTTGGGCCTGCTCAAGTATCCAGTGGGTGACCTTGGGTCACCCTTTAACATCAAAGGACCTAAAACTCTACCTTCAGATCATGCTGCCATTTTTTGAACATACAACCAATGAAGAGCCTTGAAGACTGATTACACAGATGCATCCAACTGATTGCCTCACTGCCATTCACCTTGCTCGGTGCCTTAACTCACCCTGTTTCTTTATCCCCTAAATATACCCAAACTGGCTGGGTAAGGTGGCACAAACCTATGATCCCAGCACTCAGGAGGTTGAGGCTGAAGGATGGAAAGTTCAAGTCCAACCTGGGCTAAATAGCAAGAGCCTGCCTGTCTTAAAAAACAACAACAACAACAAAAAAACCTCCAAACCATATCCTCCAGGAGGTGGATTTGAGACTTATTAATCAGTCGCCTATCTCAAGCTTGGCCAACTCATGAATAAATTGACTCTCTTTTGCAAAACTTGTCCTTTCAGTGATTGGCATTCTTCAAGACAGGCAAAACAGGTCTGATTTGGTAATGATATCCATGCACCTTGTGGACCTGGCTGTTTTTTTATATTTTTGCTAGGCAAGTGCTCTACCTGCTAAGTCACATTCCCAGCCCTTTTTTGCTTATTTTTTTTCTTTACCTAAATTCAAGATAGTGTCTCAAATTTAAGGGCCAGCCTAGCCCTTGATCCTTCCATTTACCTTTCCTGAGCAGCTGGAATGTGCCACCACCATGAGACTAGAGTCTTGCTAACTTTTTGCCCAAACCAGTCTTGAACTAAGATCCTCCCCATTGTCGCCTCCTAAGTAGCTAGGATTACAGGTGTGCACCTCCATGCCTGGTTGGAGTTTCTTTTTCTTTCTTTCTTTTTTTTTTTTTTTGTGGTACTGAGGTTTGAACTCAGGGCTTCATGATTGCTAGACAAAAGCTCTCCCACTTGAGCCATACCTACAGCCCCAAAGTTTCTTTTTGAAGTGGTAACAATGTTTGAAATTGACTTTGGTGATGGTTACACAAATCTATGAATATACAAAAGGAAAGGAAAATTGAACATTTTAAATGGATGAATTGGACAGTATGTGAATTATACCACAATAAAGGTGTTTTTTTTTTTTTTTTTTTTAAGATAGTTCATGCTGGAGTAATCTGGCAACAATGTGAAAAAGAATTAGATGAGTAAAGCCTGCAACAGAAAAAAATTGGGTTGGAATTTCAAAGGGATGGGGTGAGGGTTAAATTAAGTAGATAGTGGGCAGCAGAGGGCTCAGAGGAACAGGTCTGAAGGTGCTCATTTCCCTTGGATCTCTTCCCTTCTTCCTTCCCACAGTAGCTGCAGAGATCATACCAGCTAGAGACCAGTCGAACAGAGAACTCTTTATGCCAAATCACAAAGAGGACAGAGGGCAGGGGGAGGGTTGGGGAGGGCCTGGGAGGACCCCTCCTCCCCTTGATTCATAGTTTTAGATGCTGTTCCATTTGCTCTCGGAGTTTAAATTTCTGAACCTAGAGGAAAGGCAAAGGAAAGTCAGGGTGGGGCCTCTGCCCACTTAGGTGACCACCCATTGAGGTCTACCTGGGACTGGAGCAGGGCAGGGGGCTGGGGGGGAGGGGTTTCCTCAGGCGTTTAGTGCTAAATCCAAGAAAGTCTGGGGCAAACCTGAATGAAGTAACTGGTTGGTTCCCCCTACTGCTAGCCTCTCCTGTTCACTGCTGAGGGAGGGATAGGCCTTCTGCATTTGGGCTAGTAGCCCCGAAGCTGTCCTGCCCCTCCCCAAGGCTCCTCCACCTTACACACCTTTCCTGAGATGGTGAGAGGGTAGCCTTCCACAAACACGATGTAGCGGGGAATCTTGAAATGGGAGATCTGCAGACCAGAGGGGTAAAGTGTGAGGCTGGGAAAGATCATGGCGTTGCAGAGAGGGACGAGAGGGCTTAAGTCAGGTTCATCAGGGCAGAGCACCTCCACCCCCCTGGTTCGTTGGCAGGGAGAGGTAAGTGAGCAAGCAAGCACCACCAATATGGGTGGCTGGGGCTCCCACCTTCCCTTTGCAGAAAGCTTTGATCTGCTCCTCTGTGGTGGTCTCACCACTCTTCAGTCGGATGCAGGCACAAATTTCCTCACCCAGCCGCTGGTCTTTCACTCCTACCACCTTCCAGGGTCAGAGACAAACATCAGGCACCATCCTCTTTCTGCATGTTACCTGTTCCTAAGAGCTCACCTGGGCTCGCCTGGGCTGGGAGTCTTACCTGTACTTCCTGCACTTGTGGGTGGGTGTGAAAGAAGTCCTCCAGCTCTGCGGGGTAGATGTTCTCACCCCCCCGGATGATCATGTCTTTGGAGCGGCCCACAATCTTGCAGAAACCCTGCTCATCCATTGAGGCGATGTCTCTATAAAGAAAACCAAGCCCAGGAATGGCCTCTCACCTCTGCCTTATTCCACTGGCTCATTAGCTCACTTGTTCATTAGTTCATCAAATGTTTATTGAAGGGCAGGGGCTTGGCTCAAGTGATAAAACACCTGCCTAGCAAGTGCATGGCCCTGAGTTCAAACTCAGGGTACCACCAAACCAAACCCTACTACGTATATGTGTACCCCCACTGCTCCAGACACTCGGAGACACAACAGGAACAAGATATATTCCCTGGAGCTTACAGTTTAGGCTGCGAGGTAAAGAAAAAAAGTAAATAAAACAAACAATACCTAATCACATTTTATCTCTTCATATCAATGTCTATGCTTTTCATGGCTCACTTCTTTTCTAGGTCTCAGCTCAAATGTTTCCAGAGGCCTTTTCTGACTACCCAGTCTGTGAAAAGCTCCCTCCCCATCCCATCACACATAGCCACTTTTTCTCCCATAACCCCATTTAATTTTTTGATGTCTGAAATTATCTGCCTACCTCTCCCAGACACATAGGACATAAAAGCAGGGTCTGTCTCATCTTGCTTTCCATGGACCATCAGGTGGAGAGCAACACGACACAGAGGAAGTTCATAAGAATGGGCTGACCTCAACCAGGCACACACCTGTAATCCTAGCTACTTGGGAGGCTGAGATCCACAGGATCACAGTTCAAGGCCAGCCAGGAAAAATAAGTCGTGAGACCTCATCTCCAAAATAACCAGAGCAAAATGGACGAAAGATGTAGTTCAAGTGATAGAGTGCCTGCTTTGCAAGTACAAAGCCCTGAGTTCAAACCCCAATCCCACCAAAAAAGAAAAAAAAAAGAATGTGCTGAACTCATACATGAGTGGCTGAATCCTGGCTCCGATTTTGGGGGTGCAGGTGTATGGCCCTGTCCTAGTGTTTCTTCTCCATCTAGGTACACATTTGGAAACTGTACACAATGTACACATTAAGTTTCTAGGATGGAAGGGGACTTCTTGACATCTATGTCCTCTTTGTGCTAGTTTAATGTTCCCTGTTCAGCCACAGGATCCCCAGCCTCTCTCAGTAGCCAGACAGGCTGTCTGTCCTGACTTCTCACCCTGTCCGATACCACTTGTCCTGCCCAACGGCCTCAAAGGTCTTCTGAGGCTCGTCCCAGTAGCCATGCATGACGCAGTATCCTCGGATACACAGCTCCCCTGGCGTGTTCAGTTTTGCCAGCTCTCCAGTCTTCACGTTCACGATCCGGGCCTGAGACAGATCAACTTTCGGTTAGCGCCTTTTGATTCGGGACGGGCATCCCTTAGGAATGGATGGAGCTTTGCCCTCCCTGTTTCCAATAATGAAGCCCCCAGGCTCTGCCCATTCCACTTAAGGGAAAGGGAGATAAGACTGAAGTAGACCCAGCCCCAGTCAGAGACCTGAGCGGGGCAAGAAAGAACAGCTGAGGCCCTGACGAGGTGCTGAGGACAAGGGGTGGGCAGGAAGCTGCTGCGGAGGAGGCCTGAGGAGGGCCAGGCCAGCTGCCTAATTATAAACCACACAATGAGAAGGCAGTCTCCTCTCACTTCCCATGAAGCAGCAAATAAAGAAGCCAGAGGGGGTGGCATGGCAGTGCCATGTGAACAGGACAGGCAGCATCTGAAAGCCTAGAAGTGAAAGGAGCCCCAACAACGTGCAAGGGACACTGGGTCTCTGTGTGCCTTAATTTCTGCACCTGGGATATGGGGAAAAGTATACTTGCCTTGTCTACCGGGTCACTTCCCAAAGAGGGCGGTAGGGACACATGGGAGGGGGCTTATGTCCCTGCACACTCAGTCCAGGAAGCAACTGTGTGGGCACCCTAGCAGTATCCCCTAGGGGCAGGGAAACTCAGAGCTGGCTGGTGTGAAGCTCCAGGGCTGGAGTAGGAAAAGCATCACAGCTAGGAATTTGAGATTGAAATGTGCTGTGGACCAATCTTTGAGGTGCAAGGGACTCCAAAATGACAGGCTGCTTGGAAAGCTAAGGGTTTACAACTTGTCAGAAGAACTCTGTCAAAGCAAGAGTCAGGGGGGGTCTATGGAGAAGAAAGAGCTGTGTAGGAAAAATCTCTGTGCTCTGGCTTCTCTTTGGCTGCCTTGAAACAGACAGTGGGCTTGGCATAAACACACCTCAGACAGGAAGGGAGGCTGCGGAGAGGTTTAGCTGGCTGCTGCTCAGGGCCACTGTCCCAGCTCTTCCCCTTTCATGCTTCAGCCCACAGACAGAGCCCCAGCCAGGCCTAGCAAACTCCACTGCCAGGGTTCCTGGGCATCTTGAGTGAGCTGCCTGAATCTCTAACTGAAAGCAATCAACATCCCAGAGTGGCGAGAGGTGGGCTTACCTCTGTGTGAGGCATGACTCTGCCCACACTGTCCGCCTTCTGTTCCATCGTGTCCTCAGGGAAGTTCATGAAAGTCACAGGACTGTTCTCTGTGGTTCCATAAACAACCTAGAAGGTCCAGAAAGAGTGTTTGAAGGGAGGTCAGTGATGGCTGAGGGATGGAATGAGCTACCCTGGGCAGCTGAATAAATAAGAGACAGCATTGGTAGGAGTCAAGGGTCAGGGGTCAGAAGGCAGAGGCACTGATCTCTATTGGGGCCCCAGATCTGAAATCAAATTTCAAAGCAGGGAAGTGGTTCTTTCCTGGCCAAGTCTCTCTCAGTTTTCTGTTTCCCTAGAGCAGACAAATGTCTATCCATGTGGCTCCCAGAAGGCAATAAATGACCAGACTGCTTTCCCCCATCCCCGGGCTACCTTAGTCCCCACCTTCCTGATTTCAGGCCACAACATCCTCCCTTCCTCCCTTCCAAGCCCAGGGCCCCATAAATTTGATGAGAAAGCCAGCCTGCCTTGGCCCAACTGGAAGTGGTGCAGACACAACCTCCCTCAAAACCAAGGACAAGTTCCTGACCTTGGGGTGGGTGCCCCGCCCCCAAGCTCTGGAGAGTTTCCTGTAAATTTATTTTCATCAAAATAGAAATACAGTCAAAGCATGGATTTAAAACTCATGTGGCACCCACCACCACTACTTTCAGTGGTTGGAACACCCTGAACAACAGAAAAACCAGAAGCCAGCCTAAATACCATCAGGGAATGTTGTAAGCCAAGTTTGACATTCCCCCACCCCACCCCATTCTAGAGGAAAGAGGTAAAAGGAGCTTGGAAGAAGAACAGGCCCTGGAGACCAAGCCCTTACAATTGGGTACTGGGTGAGGGGAGAAGGGCTAGCCACCCAGTACTCTATCAGACCTTTGTCAGCGCTCTTCCAACTCCCCCTGTGCCAGCTGGTATAGCTCTGGTACCCTTGGGGTCTAGTTCCTCTCTTTTTCCAAAATGGACAATACCCCCTGCCAAGCAGCCCCTAGCTCACCTTGGGGCCAGAGCTGTGACCTGCCTGCTCACCCTCCCTTATCCACAGGACTCCAGACACAGTGGCTGGCAAGTGGGTACACAGAGGCCGGCACGGTGGGGCGGAGCTGCCCACAACCTAGCGTCTGGCAGTCTGAGCTCGCCAAGGCTGGTCCCTTGTTTCCAGGACCTGGCCCCCCTCACCCGTCCTCACCATCCTGGGGCCACTGCCCAGGTGTGGCCTCTGCCAAGTAGACCTTGGCGCCACTCGGCTGCCACCCTGAGACCCCTCAGGGGTTAGTTCTGACCACGGGGGCGGGGAAGGTTAGGGATGAGGGGCTGGTGCCACTGTGCTTGTTCAGTGGCCTGTGGTCTCCAGGTGTGCTTGCCAGTCTCGCGGGTCACTCCCCCCTAGTTCCCACTTTCCTGCTTACACTTCATCCCTGGAAAAGAGGGACGGGGGTGCAGGGGGCAGAATCGCAAGCTCAGGGTTAGGAGAGGGTCAGGCGGGAGCCCAAGGGTGGAGAAGGCGCTCCCATCTCCTTTGGGTCGGGTCTGGAGTGTCTAGCCTGAACAGGGAGCCCGACGCCAGAGCGGCTCTCACGCTCGGCTGGCGCCGCACAAGAGCCCCATTAAAGCGCCGCGGACTGGTGAACCGCGGTGAGACGCTTCCGGCCGTCGGGCCCCGCTTCCTCCCTCCCTGGGTCCAGGGCACCCTGCCGAAGGTGTATGGGGGGCATGGAGACTCAAACTTAAGCAAACAAATAAGTGCAGGGAACGCCTCCCTCTCTCCGGTGTAAACTCAGGGCTTTAGACACACCCATTACCCCCCTCCCTCCCACCCCTCCCCCAAAAAACTAGGGAAAGGAGGTAAGCAGAGAGCAGCACCGCATCTGAGAGCAGGAAGAAGGGATCGGGGTTCCAGGATCCGGGCCAGGACCCCCTTGCATGGCCGCCAACTGTGGAAAGGGTCCCTGCGCCCCACCCCGCCCCACCCCCCAGCAGCCGAGAGCAGGGGCGCATCTCTGGACGCGAGGGAGTTAAGTTCAGTGGCCTGGATGCTCTACGTAGTAGCTGGCTCTGGCCGAAGGCTGCGGTCGAGGCTGCCCTATAAATAGGGCGGGAGACCCGAGCTCCGAGGACTTGCAGTTCCCCATAGCCCGCCGCCGCTGCCCCCCAGCCTTGGTTCCAGGCGTCCCAGCCATGACCCGCGCGATGCTTGTCTTCAGCATCGGCCTCTTCGCTGGACTCCTGCAGGCGCTGGCCGCCTGCCCCCAGAACTGCCACTGCCACGGTGACCTGCAGCACGTCATCTGTGACAAGGTGGGACTGCAGAAGATCCCCAAGGTGTCAGAGAAGACCAAGCTGCTCAACCTTCAGCGCAACAACTTCCCCGTGCTGGCTGCCAACTCGTTCCGGGCCATGCCCAACCTAGTGTCACTGCACCTGCAGCATTGCCAGATCCGAGAGGTGGCGGCTGGTGCCTTCCGCGGCCTCAAGCAGCTCATCTACCTGTACCTGTCCCACAACGACATCCGCGTGCTGCGCGCTGGTGCCTTCGACGACCTTACTGAACTCACATACCTCTACCTGGACCACAACAAGGTGACGGAGCTGCCTCGGGGGCTGCTCTCCCCTCTGGTCAACCTCTTCATCTTGCAGCTCAACAACAACAAAATCCGGGAGCTGCGCGCAGGCGCTTTCCAGGGTGCTAAGGACCTGCGCTGGCTCTATCTGTCAGAAAACTCACTCAGTTCTCTGCAGCCCGGTGTCCTGGACGATGTGGAGAACCTCGCCAAGTTTCACCTGGACAGGAACCAGCTGGCCAGCTACCCCTCAGCGGCCCTGAGCAAGCTGAGGGTGGTAGAAGAGCTGAAGCTATCCCATAACCCACTGAAGAGCATCCCGGATAATGCCTTCCAGTCCTTTGGCAGGTATCTGGAGACCCTCTGGCTGGACAACACCAACCTGGAGAAGGTGAGTGCCTGGCTGCAGTACTCAGCCCTGGCTCCTTCCCTTCCTGGAGGCCTGGGAGCTAGGACTGCAACTGGGTACAATCCCATTCCCCCAGATCTCCTGTCCTCCTGGCCATCTCCAAGGCTCTGTCACCCCTCTCCCTCATCTGTCACATCCCCACCCTAATCCCTGTCCAGCAGCTTGTCTTAAGTACTGCCCTCCCAGGATTCCTACTTATAAGAGGAGTAGGGGCTGACCTGGTCCTACAAATGGCCTCTTAGGAGTCATCTCCAGTGCTCCCAAATCCCCACTGTGAACAGCAGCCGCCTCTTCCTGTTGGGCCTTCAGCCCCTCCTCTGCTGTGTTTCCCAGTCTCCAGTAAATCTACCATCTTATAAAGGGAGGTTTGTCTACTGAGGAGCCTTCCAGAGAAGCTGAGTGAATCAGGCCCACAAAGAGACCCTGTTCCTGGTGGGGATTGCTTAAAGTACTAAGGTAGAATGGGAGGCTGGGGAGTGAGGGGGAGAAAATGCCTGAGGAAGACCTCCTCTATACCCTACAGAGGCCCTGATGGATGCCCTGTCCCCCCAACTGGTCCCTACACACACAATCCACTGCATTCTCAGTCCGTGTCACCTGAGTAGGCCAAGTCAAGGCATGGGGACCAAAGGCTCCCTCAGGCTGCAGGAATGGTGTCTACGGGCTCTGTGAAGGAGCAAAGGCGAGAACACCCTTGGTAACCCTTGGGTACAAGACCCTTGGATCCTCCCCACAGAGTAGACTGGCTGTCCCTCACAGTCCCCCAGACTACTGGCTGCCTTCTGCCCACCCCAGTCACCAGATCCATCTCCTGCCTGCCTTCTCACTCAGTCCTTCTTCCCCTGGGAAGCCCAGCCAGGCCAAGTAGGGCTATATTAGATGGAAGCAGAATACCTTTCTTAGGATTGGAAAATTGCCCTGGGACAGGGGCTTCAGCCAGGAGGTTTAGGTGGGGACCAGGACAAGGTAAAGAACCGTCTGGTTACTACAGAACGACACAAAACCCAAACTAGGCTGCAGGGCACAGACATGAAAACAAGGGCAGAATCTTACCTGTGCAGCGGCCAACCTTTGTCTGGGTAAAAGGAATCTGTCCAGCCTATCTTCTTCAGTCTAGGCCCTGTCACAAATGAAGGTGGACCACTCCCTGGCCCCTCAGTGCCAGAGTGGTTTTTTTGGTGGGCAACAGGACAGCATATCAGGGACTGATTTGGGGCCAGCGAGCCCAGACAGGAACCATGGTGCCTGGGCCAAGATGTGAGCACCAATAAAATATTTCCTCTGGAGTTGTCCAACCTGGCCAGAGTCTCCACCAAGGTGGCTCCCCAAAAAGCATCTGGCAGGCAATGAGGGAGCAGTGAGGACATAGCTGAGGGAAGTCCTGAGACCCTAGAGCTGTGGGGAGCCTGGGCTCACTGCCCACCCCACCAAACACTGACCAGGTTCACCGTGTGCCAACCTGGACTTCTGGAGCCAAACTCTGGCTGCCTCCCTAGGCTAACTGTTTGTGCGGAGAGTGTGGTGTCAGGGGAGGGGAGCAGGGTGTGGTCCTGCAGCTACTGTTTACTCGCTCGTATTATCCTGGCCAAAGGACCGAAGTTTTTCTACTTTTCCATCTGCATATTGGAAACAACACCTCCTATCTCAAAAAGCACTCTGCTTTGAAAACTACAACTCCTCAAGGTGTTGGTGCTCACATCCAAGGAAGGACCTGCCCTCCTGAGGCAATAGAGAACTGGGAGAGGCTGGACGTTGAGGCTGGGGTGCTCATTCCTGTCCACCTTGTCTCCCCAGTTCTCAGACGGTGCCTTTCTGGGTGTGACAACGCTGAAACATGTCCATCTGGAGAACAATCGCCTGAACCAATTGCCTTCCAACTTCCCCTTTGATAATCTGGAGACCCTCACCCTCACCAACAACCCTTGGAAGTGTACCTGCCACCTCCGGGGCCTTCGGCGGTAAGAATAGCCCCTTACTCCCCTAGATCCACCTTCATTTGGTGGTCTTGCACTAAGACATCCTGGGCATATATCCTAGATGTGTTACCCAATAGGCATGAGACCCTGGGAGCCTCAGTTTCCTCCATTTGTAAATTTCAGATGACGGCTCCAGAGTATCCTTTGAGGTCAAGTCCATCCTGGCCCCATAGCTCATTCTCCCTCGCCCCAAGTGCTCTCATTTATCTTCCCCAAACCCAGGCAACTCTCTGTCTCTCCAGATGGCTGGAAGCCAAGGCTTCTCGCCCAGACGCCACCTGCGCCTCACCCTCCAAGTTCAGGGGTCAGCACATCCGTGACACAGATGCCTTCCGCAGCTGCAAGTTTCCCACCAAGAGGTCCAAGAAAGCCGGTCGCCATTAAACAGGTGGGGGCTGGGCAAGCAGGTTATCCTTTGCCCTCTTTGGAGATTCCAGCAAGGGGCTGTTATCTCCCGTGATAGCCCTGCCTCTGGAAGGGCAGGCACATCCTTCATTTTGCAGGGAGAGGAGGGGAGGATAGGGATTCCCTCACCCAAGGGCCCAGCCTAGGTCTCCTACTGTTCCCTCCAACGCTGGCCAGGTTTTTGGGAGTCCTGACACGGATCCTTGCCTCACCACAGGTCCTGACCCAGCCAGTCCTGGTGGCTGGCCTCTGTCTTCTGCCGGAGAGACTACTGACCTTCCCACTGCCCCCCATACCTTCTCCCCACAGCCTCTGCTGTATGCACAGAGCTGCCCACACCTAGACATGTCCTGGCAGGGGACCTTGGGCACTCCACTACCAGCCCAACTCCAGCTGATAGGGTTCAGGGAAGGACACAGAGCCCCTCCCAACCCATCATGCCTGGCCCCTGTGCGGCTCCTCCAAGAAAAGCTATTGTCAACATCCCCAAGTCAGAACCAGAAGTGGGGTGACCATCGGGATGGCCACCCTCCCAGAATCAGTCTTTCTCTGCTCCCCTTTCCCTGCCATTTGGAAACAAACATCAGACCCTTGCCTGACCCCTTGCTTCCAGAAAGGCCCTAAGTCCATACTCTAACTCTGCTGCCTCCACCTGCCAGGACATGCTAATGGGACACAGGTGCTTCGCTCACTCTCATGCTGCATTTCTGCCTCAGATTTCTATAAATATAAATTTATGTGTATATTTACTCCCCTGTCACCTATCTCCGATGTCCCATCAGGTGCTGACAAGGTCAGACTGTCTTGTCCCACCTCTGCTTTCTTGAGAAAAGGCTGGCCCTGCGTGTCTCCTTTGGACATCTGACCTGGCTTCTCAGTCCTTACTTACTCTAGGGTACTCAATCCACACCCTGGCTCTGGTTACTACTCACCACCAGCTCCCTCATGTTCATCTTGGTGATGATGGCTCGGATCAACTCTGGGGGTGCAGGGGACCCAGCGATCACACCTGAATCAGAAAGAGAGGGTGACACAGCTTCCCCCTTCTCCAGGCCCAGTGGACCCCCTTCACCTACCACTCACTGGAAGGAAGAGCATTCCCTTCTCTCCTCTGACCCTGTCCCTATTCCTACACCTGACAGCTAGCCTTGATCTGGTGTCCAGAGATGCTAAGGATTTGCCTCCCTCTTGCCCACATTTCTACACTGCCCTTCCTGTCCCCTACATAAAAAACTGGCTCACCCAGGCCAGTCCTGAAGGGAAGCAGCCCCCTCCCCATGCCTGCCTGTCCTTGGCCCCACCCCACCTCCACATATGGACGAGAAGTCATAACTGGAGAAGTCTGGCTGGTTCAGTACATCCACGAACATCGTGGGAGTGCCGTACAGGAAGGAGCCTCTGTGTAAAGGGGAGTCTCAAAATTAGGCTTGGAAGTGGAAGGGAACTCCCATTTCTCCCCTACCCCACTATGAATCCATGGCATGGGCCAAGGCCAAAGCTGTGGGGAACAGGCAGGAGCTCAAGGCAGGAACTGGTCCCCCAAAACCCTGACCCAGGTCTCCTGGTTGGAGGGAAAAGACATGTTGGAAGGGGACAGGGCCCAGAAGTGAGGACTAGGAGGATCTCATCAGCCCATGGTGGCCTGTCCACCAATGCCCACTTCTCTCTGCTGATGGCCTCCAGCGCCTTCTTGCCATTGAAGCTCGGAGAGGACAGGAGAAGCGTGGCACCGTGCAGCACACACACCATTGTGCCCCCCACGGAGCCCAGGCAGTGGTACAGGGGGCAAGGCAGGACAAACCGCAACTCCTCTGGTGTCTAGAGATGGAGACAGGAGGCTCCAGGTCTATCATGGAGTCAGTTCCTCCAGTCAGCAGGGGGAGCCCAACAAGTCGCCCCATGCCCGCCCCACCTTCCGCTCCCAGCAGCCTGTAAACCTTGCCTGGGCCCAGCCCAGCCTCACCTTCACAGGCATTTTCAGGCGCTGGCCTATCAGGTTGGAGTTGTTCACAATGTTGTAGTGGGAGAGAGTGGCTCCCTTGGGGCTGCCTGTTGTCCCCTGAGAAGACAAGCAGGTTGACAGCTTGGCCTCCTTCTCCCCATCTCCTTCCCACCCTCAGCCACTATCCAGAAAAGCACAAGACTGGGAGTTAGGGGACTGAAGTTTGTGCATACCTGCATATGCACAAAAGTTCTACGATGCCCTGCACCAAAATTCCAGAGAGAAGGTCTCTCTCTGTCCTCAGGCATGGGCAAATTACCTGTCTGAGCCTCTGATTCCCCATTGGCTAGGGGCAGGGTCTACTAGCTCTGATACTCTGAGCCTTGGTGGCTCAGTGAATCTGCACTGCACTGGAAGCAATAGGGCCAGGAAGGGTGTGTGTGACAAAGGCATCAGTTGTCGATTTTCCAAAGAAGAGAGGACAGCTGGAGGCCAGTGTCAAGAGAGGATGCCTACTTTCCTGACTTCCTCTGCTGTCTCCCCATCCTTGGACAAGGTCATAGGGGCAGGGGACATGTGTCAGTTGGGCTCAGGACCTAGAGACCTTCTCCCTACCGAGGTGAACTGGATGTTGATGGGATCATGGCAGGACAGGAACTGCTGGGTGTACCGGAGCTGGGCCAGGTGCTGCTCTGTGCTACCAGCTGCCACCACATCATCCAGTAGCAGGGTCCCCGGCAAAGGGGCATCCACTGAGATGACTGTGGTCAGATCTGGGAGCCTGGGAGAAAGAGAGGATGGTGAGAAGCAGGGGTGGAGGGAGGGCCCAGGGAGACACCAGTCCCATCCCTGAGGTTTGGTAGGGAGTGAGGAAGTGAGGGGAATGCTACATGGTGCTCTCCAAACCCAGGACACACCTACCTCTCACTCTTCAAGGCCCCTGGCTGGGCTTTTTCCAGTTCTGGACAGATCTGCTTCAGGATGTTGTAGTATTGCTGGCTCTTGAATTGCTTGGGAAACACGAGGGCTTTGCAGCCCACCTGTGGAAGGGGAGCCCCTCTACCTGTGGTCAGCAGGAAGACCCAGACTGGGGCTCTGGGGGAGTCCTCAGTAATTGGTTATTCTCTCTCTCATTCACTTGCATGCCTACCCTGACACATTACCTACAGCTCTCTCTCTCTCTCTCTCTCTCTCTCTCTCTTTTTCTTTCTCTCTCTCTCATACACACACACACTCACACCTCCAATGCATTCCACTCCAAGACAAATGTACACAAATATACTAGCCACAAGACAGACACACACAGCATACTGAGATGCAGCACATCTGCACACATGCACACTACCACCTGACATACATGCTTCACTCTCGTCCCCCACACTGGCCTTGTGAATGACCCACTACTCTCTCCGCGGAGTTGAGACCCCCTTCCAACCACACAGTCTGAGGGGCATTCTGACCACCTCAGTAACAACCAAAAGCCCCCTGATCCACCAGCAGGCCTCCTCCCCCAAGAGTGGGCCCTACCTTTTTGAGGACATACTCCAGTTCCATGGCCTGATAGGCGGGGTTCACAGACACCTGAGGGAACAGTCCTCACTCGTGTGTCAGTGTCCTGGGCAGTTGCACCACCCTCCCACTGCCCCTCTGCTCTCAGAAGGCACAAGGTTGCACCCTGCTCTGCCAGGGCTTCTTAGTGGGCCTTAGGAGAAACCACTACCAAGTCTGAAGCCAGGAATTACTTTGGTTCTGGAGCCAAGGGACTCCCCTTAATGATACCCTCTACACCCCCTGTGGCAGGCAAACCCCTCCTCACCAGTATGATGCCCGCCTGGGCAGTGGCCAACTGCATGAGTAACCACGCATAGGAATTGGGTCCCCACATCCCCAGCCGGTCACCCTTTTGGAGGCCAATACTCAGGAGTCCAGAAGCAGCTTTGTCCACCTGGTGCAAACAGATGGAGAACAAAGGGCAAGATGGGGGCAAGCAGGAAGGGGTCCGTGACTCCTACCATCCCCTTGGCCTGTGGATTCACATCAGAAAGCAGGAGGATTTCCAGGCCTCAGTGAACCTACAGTGGTGCTGGGGAGTACACATAGCTAACAAATGGTCTGGGAGCTACCAGGGCAAAAGAATGTAGGACACCTCCCTCAGCCCTGTCCACTTCTGCTGCCATCCCTTGGGGGGGGCGGTCCTCAGGAAACCCTAGCCACTACCTCCACTTTCCAACTCTACCCAGCCATGGCAGCCCGGAGACTTCCCACTTTGAGAGTTCAAAGTCAGGACCCACCTCCTCCTTGAGCTGTGCATAGGTCAGCCTGATGTTTTCATGGAGGATGACCACAGCCTCTCGATCAGGGACCCTTTGTGCAGTGGCATCCAGACACCCACCCACAGTCTTGTGGATAAGATGAATGCTGGTGTGTCCCTGAACATAGCTGAGGCCTCCGACAGGCAGGGGGGTGGTGTACTCCGTCTCTCCAGAACTGTGGAGAGAGGGGCCGTGAGCTGAACTGTGCCAGGTTGGGCCTCCCTGGCACAACCAGCTGATAGTCAAGCTGCTTACAATGAGGACTAATTTTTTTTTTCCTGGATCTTCTTGCTAACCTAGAACACCTCACCACACCCCTTCCTAACCTCAAGCCTAACCCCAAGCTTAACTCCCCAAGGATGCCCAAACTTGGAACACACTCTGGGTCCTTCCCGCACTTCCAGAGAGAGGCCTGGGAAAGCCTCTCTGGAGGCTACACAGAGAGACAGATCTCGCCAAGTGTGGCTGCACCTGCTCCCCATCCCCTGCCTCCGAGATGAGGAAGTCACTGAGTCCTTCCTAAGCAGTGAGGCTCAGGCTTGGACCCAGAGCTGGAATCTAAGCCCTTAGGTTTCTTGGCTCCTCAGTGGGGCAGTTTCCCTCCTTGGAGCCTGAAGTTCAAAGACAAAATAAGTAAGGGGTTTAGAAGACAGATGGCAGTCCTAAAAGAGGGGCTAGACAGCTCCTGTTATTTGACATCTCCACAGCCAGGTGTTGGGTGCTAGCAAGAGGCTGGGTGACCGCAGATGAAGAAGAGAACTCATACATTCCAAATGGCACCTGAGCTTGGGCTCCCACTCTCAGATGATGTTGCAAACAGGAAAACAATGGTAGCATTTGGACCACATGGTAATCTCAGGCCACACAGAACAAGAGAGAAGGAGTGTGTGTCTCACTAACAGGATGTCCCATACCAGCCATCCCCAAAAGAGAATTTCCCACCTTTTTTATGTCACCCTTAGTAAGGGGGCTTCCTTGATACTCATGAATTTAATATTTTAAAAAGTGAGTCAGGCACTGGTGGCTCATGCCTATAATCCTAGCTACTCAGGAGGCAGAGATCAGGAAGATCATGGTTCAAAGCCAGCCCAGGCAAATAGTGCACAAGACCCTATCTTGAAAAACCCATCACAAATATAGCGCTGGTGGATTGGCTCAATCGGAAGGCTGCCTAGCAAGCGTGAGGCTCTGAGTTCAAACCCTAGTAATGTCAAAAAAAAATTACACATATATATGTATATATATGAATTACAAATTCTCATTCTTAATGTAAAGAAGCTGAAACGAAAAGAGGTTGGTCAAGTGTCTGCAGGGAGTGTCTGCAGCCTGAAGCAGGGAATCCAGTGCAAGGGCCTGAACTGTTAAAGTCAGGCTTGCCCTGCCCACTGCACGCAGGATAGGAGGGGACAGGCAATTTCTCTTCTTTGCTCTTTGGATTTCTCCCCTGGCTGACCATCAGACAGTATCTAATCTCAATTTTACTCTTTCTATACTTTCTACTAAAATCAACTAGGGTAGGGCAGCATTGTGGGGGAAACTGGCAGCTCCTCCAAGGAGGTAAAACCGTTCTAGAAACTCATATCAATATAATTTGCTCATAAACACAGAAATCACCCCTGTCATTTAGTCACTTCAAAAGCCCAAGGGCTGGGGGTGTGGCCCAAGTGGTAGAGCACCTGTCTAGCAAGCATGATGCCCTCAGTTCAAACCCCAGTAGTGCAAAAAAAAACAAAAGAGGAAGTGTGGTTTGAGTGCACTTAGTAAACCCAAAGCCCAAGCACAAACACACTGATTCTCCTCCGCCCACACACCAAACACCTGGGCCAAAAAGGGAGGCTACTTCTTTACTTCTTCCGTTCCTGCAGAGATTTGGGGAGGTTTTAGGAAAAGTTTGTGTGTGTTTAAATGTGGAGGAGGAATCTTAAGGACTTGGAGAAGAGCCAGAAGACCTAAATGGTTTCAGCTAAAAAAATTAAGATAAATTTGTCTTGGAGCTATCAGTTACTTAAATTGGACACTGCAGAGCCCAAGGCCTTGGGTGGCCAGGTGGGACAGAAGCCAGGTAGGAGCTGCAAGAAGACAAGAGACAAGCATAGACCCATGGGAATTCACGCCCAGATCTGATTTCATAAGAGAAATCAGGAACAAGGAAGTTTTCTGTTTTTTTTTAAATATTCTCTTGACTTTCAGTGTCGACAATTAATGTGTTCACTGTTTTATTCCCATTCCCTAGCATGTGGGAAGCACTGAGTTCGGTGCCCAGCAGTACAATTAAAAAAAAAAAAATAGGCAAAGGACTTGAATAGACATCTTTCCAAAGAAAATACACGAATGGCCAATTAACATATGAAATGGAAATCAAAACCATATGAGGTATCATTTCATGCCCATTAAGATGGCAAAACACAAAAAACAACAACAAAAAAAGAGTAAGTGTTGTGAGCATTTGGAGATTTTGAAACCTTTGTGCATCGCTGGTGGGAATGTAAAATGGCCTTGCCACTGTGGGAAACAGAGTGTAGCTCTTCAAAAAGCTAAACATACAACTACCATGTGGGACTGGAGCTGTGGCTCCAGAAGTAAAGTGACTTCTTTGCAAGCAAGAAGTCCTGAGTTCAAACCTCAGTACAGCCAAAATAGATAAGAACCACCGTATGACCTGCGAGTCTACTCCTAGGCGTATACCCCCTAAAACTGAAGACAAGTGTTCAAACTGTTAAATAAAAATTACATTGTTTTGAGCTAAGCTTCTACCCTGGGCTCTAACATGTCAGAAAGGGAGTCCTCCAAGCTAAAGCTCCACATTATCAAATGAAACTAAGCTGTTTATCTGACTTTGAAGAAGCCAGGAAAAATGAGGTAATTTCCCAAACAGGCCAGTATCAGTGTGCTCTGCCTTAATTCTCACACACACACACAAAAAGGTAACTTGAAGCACCTTGATATTAACCAATCAGGTATTTTTCTATATTTCTCTCTGTATCGGCCTTACAAGGAAAGTTAACTTTAAAATGACCAGTCTACTCTGTTCTTTGTCTTTGCTTTTTTATAGCCCTTCTCTGTCTTTGAAATCACCCCTCTGTTCAGCCTATCGTATTCCCATGTAGAATGTAGTGTTGTTCAATTCTAGAGCTAAAAATAAAGCTAATTAAGATAGTTAAGATTTGCCCTTGACAACAGAAAAACTTGCACATGATTATTTATAGCAGTGCCATTCACAATAGTCAAAAGGTGAAAAAAAGTTCAAGTGTCCAGTAAACAAAATGCTGTACGTCCATCCCTACAGTGGGATGGAATGAAGAACTGAACTGGGAGTATAGCTCAGTGGTAGAGCACTTGCCTAGCACTGGGTTCCGTCCCCAGCACCATGAAAAAACTAAAAAAAAATAAATAAATAAAAACAACAAGCAAACAAATAAAAAGGAATGAAGTATTGATATACTCTGCAATACGGATGAACCTTGAAAACATTTATGCTAAGTGGAAGAAGCCAATGACAAAAAGACCACATCTCGTGCAATATAGTTTTGACATGATCCCAAATACTTACATAGGGCCAGGGACATGGCTCAGTGGTAGAATGCATAGCATTCATGAGGACCTGGGTTCAATTCCCAGAACCACAAAAAAAAAAAAGTGTTTGTCAAATATTTCCATAGTTTGCTATGTAGGTGACATATTTTTGCTGCAAACATGCATCTATTTCCCTCTCTTAGGAATATTGTATCTCCTTAACAGACCTCTTTTGTAAGTTATTGAACAACCACTGGCCTCTAACTATAGATAAATCTGAGTTTGACAGTCGTGTTGAGACCTTAAGCCATAGCAGGGTTGCAATTGTCTCTGAAAACCAACAGGTTAAGCTGAAACAGGGCCACACCCACCTATGCCCAGTTGGCCAACACCACCCTTTACCATAAAAGGACCTAAGTGTCTTCAAGGATCTCTAAGCTGGTCAAGATATCTATCCTATACACTTTCCACAGAGGCCTGCTTCCATCCTAAATGAACAACCAGACTAATAGCTGAACTCTAAGAAACTTGGAACGCACTAGCTATGTGGTTAAGGTACCTCTTCTAGTGAGTGGGTTTCCTTATATCCTGTGACATTTGTTTCTTTATTCTTCCCTTCTTTAAGTATTTAGGGAAAAAAAAGAAACAAATCTTTTTTCTTTGTATAAGCTGTATGATTCATGAAGCCTTGTCTCTCCTTGTTTTGACCATATAAAACAGTTTAATTCATTTATATGAAATGCCCAGAATACACAAATATCTATAGTTAGAGTAGATTAAGTGGTTGCTAAGGGAGTGGAGATAGGGATGGAGGGGGATGGAGTGGTGATAACTAAAGGGTGTGGCTCTGTGAGCTGATGCAACTGTTCTAAATTTGGCTATAGTGAAGGTCACACATCTCCACAAATATGCTAACAACACTGAATGTGCACTTTAAAACTAACATACATAATTCTACTCCCAACAGAAACCACACACATGCTCACCAAAGGACAGCTATTGGGATATTTGTACCATCTTCAATTGGACACTATCAGATATCCATCAACAGTAGAATAGATGAGTAAATGGTAATTTATTATTCGTAAGTTTGTACAGTAAGGAGAGCAAAGGAACTGTGACTACACCCAACAATTAGAACAAACTTCATAAAAATAAATGGCAGATGACAGGTAGGAAAAGGTGCTCTGTGTGCTCCTGTCTATACGTACAAGACAGGCAAAGCCAACTGCGAGAAGCCAGGAGAATGGCCAGTTGCTAGGATCAGTGACCATAAAGAGGTTGGGAGGGAGCTCCTGTTGTCTGATAATACTCAGTCTCTTGATGTGAGTGCTGGTTACATGACTTGTTCAGCTTTTCAAAAATTTTGTTGAACATGGTGGCACACACCTATAATCCCACCTCTTGGAAGACTAAGGCAGGAGGATGATAAATTCTAGGCCAGCTTGGGCTACATAGCAAGACCCTATTTCAAAACAAACAACCAAAACAATAAAATAAAAACAGTTTTTTTTAATTTAAGAAGTGACAATAGTTAGCATAGTTAAAAACAAAAGCAAAACAAAAAACTCTTGTTGTGCACCACCAGGCCCAACGTAGCCTGGGCAAGTTAGTGAAACCCTGTCTCAAAACAAAATAATAAAGGGCCAGGGTAGAATGCTTGCCTAGCATGCATGAGGCCCTGAATTGGATTTTTGGTGCTGTTTTTTAAAAACATTACTAATCAAGTACTTAAATTATGTGTACTTTTCTGACTCTATAGTATACTTCAATACTATAGATTAAGGGCTTAAGCTTGTGTTGATGCAGTCATAATTAAGAAGCTAAATTTAACAAGAGATTGTCATATCTATTCACCATTCTTTCAAAAAACAAAAGCAGCACATATTAGTTCTGTGCAAAATATGTACATACATTATTAAGCAATGCAGAGCAAGCCAAGAAAACACATCTGTTTGTGATTTCTATTTTGTAAATTACTCTAGAAAAGAAGCGACCCCATTTTTTAACATAGTAGGATTTTGCTTTCCCAAGTTCCATAAAGGAGAAAGTAGTTTGAGTGCTCTCTGTTAAGCTCTGCTACTGGGACTATTTGTTTCCAGTTCATCTTAGACAGGGATGCCTGGTCTCCAGGATCAGGAGCACAGAGCAGCTGGTGACACATTGCTTATTTAGAATATGGCATACTGGATGCCCGGCAAACCAGGATCTGAATATTCCTCTGGCAGGAAAGTAGAATCCTCCCATGACTGACTGTTTCACAGTGCAATTGCCAAGAATATCTGTACAGGCCTTTAATGGCAAGTTAAGAACATAATGATTCTGCTTTATGAAAAAGATTAGCAGTACAGAGGTGGGAGGCTGGGATGGGTAAGCCTGAAAGGTATGTGGACACAGAAAGAACTGAACACAGAACACCTCCTCTACAATGGGTCCTGCTTTCTAGGCAAATCAGGGCAATGATCTGTGGGAGGCAAGTGCTTTTATCCTTGTTTAACAAGTAGAAAAAATCAAGATACAGAAGTTAAACATGTCCAAGGTGCTGCAAAAAAGGTTGATTCAACCAACCTTATCTTCTGATAACAGAGAGCTGTCCACTAAAACAGACCAAGTGACAGTGACCTATAGAACACAATAATGACCAAACCAGCTGCAAATGGCCAGTAAGGTTAGGAAAATTTGTTCATGTTACAAATCAAAGCAACACAACCATGAGGCATTTGTTCCCCCAAAAGATATGCAAAGGTGAAAAATACTGATATTATGTCTGCAACTTATTTTAAAATGAGAGTAAAAAGTGTGTGTGTGTGTGTGTGTGTGTGTGTGTGTGTGTGCAAGACCAGAGGAGAGATCACATCTTGGACTGTTTAGCAGCTGATATTTCAAGCTCAAGCTTTGCAATCATTTATCTGGATTATTATGCCACTGTGCCCCAAAAGCTGCTATCCCCAAAACCACATATGTGCATTGAAAATAATTCAACCTGTCTGATACTGAATTAAATGAGAAGTTACTAAAGAAGAAAAAAAATAACAAATCAGTAATCCTTGGCCCAAACAAGATTGCTGTCTTTCTAGAGGAGTCTATGTTTCATTTCAAAATTCCCTGACAGAGTACTCCCAGGCAGTACCTTGCCAGCAAGACCAGATCAATAAGAGTTTGTCCTGGCTTGCTGGTTGCATGTACTCAGGAAGGGGGCTCATCCCAAAGCAAGCTGGAGTACTGAATTGCAATGCTGCACTCAGTGTTGCCTAGGGGATGTGGTGCATATCTGTAATCCCAGCACTCAGGTGGCTGGGGCAGGATGATTGCAAGTTCTAGGACAATCTGAGCTACACAGCAAGACCTTGCATCAAAAAAAGCTTCAAGGTGCCCAGAACTCTATCATATTCTTTTTTTACTCTAAATGGATATTAAACTTCCACTAAATTTAATATTTATGGCTTTGCTTTTTTTTTTTGACACAGAGGTCTTACTATGTAACCCAGGTGGTTGGCCTCAAACTTGCAATCCTCCCTCCTCAGCCTCCAGAGTTCCTGAGTGCTGGGATTACAGGCATGCATCATCACACTTGGCTTTTTAGTTTGATATTCTTCTCTTTTGAAAAGGGTACCCCAAATTGTAGAAGCTTCAGAACTCACAAATCTGATTCCCCTCTGAATTTGTAATATCTATTAATATTTTAACATGCATGTCCCTTGATCCAGCAATACTACTTTTGGGAAAATGTATGAATATGGACATTAATTGCTGCTTTAGCAAACAACTGGGAAAAAACTTTATTCCTATGAGTATGGGATTAGATAACTAGAGTACAGAGCTTCTATACAATGGAACCATGCCATTAAAAATGAATACATTGTCTGTTTAGTGACATGGAAAGTATCTAATAATATTTTACATTAAAAAGCACATTTCAGGACTGGTGGAATGGCTCAAGTGGTAGAGTGCCTGACTAGCAAGCATGAAGCCCTGAGTTCAAACTCCAATACCACCAAGAAAAAAAAAAACACATTTCAGAGTAACATGAGCTGACATTTCTTGGTATGTTCTCATACCAACTCCGCTTTTCTAAATACTCCACATGAGTGATCTATGATCGACATAACCTCTCCTTGTCCTAAATAGATACCCATTTTAGAGATGAGAGAATGAGACTCAAAGAAATGCCTTTCCTCACCCAAAGCCACACAGCTGGTAAGTGGCCAAGCTGGGACCCAAACCCAGGACTGCCAAGATTAATAGAAAATTAATATTGGAGCCCAATGCCAGTGGCTCACACCTGTAATCCTAGCTATTTGGGGACTCAGATCAGGAGTACTGCAGTTTGAGACCAGGCCGGGAAAATAGTTCCCAAGACCCCATCTCCAAAATAACCAAAACAAAATGAACTGGAGGTGTGGCTGAAGTGATAGAGAGTACCTGCTTTGCAAGCACGAAGCCCTGAGTTCAAACCGCAGTCCCATCAAAAATAATAATAATATTGGGCCAGGTGAGGTGGTGCATGCATATAATACCAGCACTTGAGAGGCTGAGGCAGGAAGATCACGAGTCTGAAGCCAGTCCTAGCCGGTTTCAAAACAAAACAAAAAAAGAACCTTGGTAAAGTCATGGCTTAACAGGGGACTTTCACATATCACATATGTCTCCTATGTGGCAATTCTCCTATCAGTCTCAGACCACCTTTCCTCCTCCCCAGCCCCCACCCAGAATACTGGGAATTGAATCGAAGGCCTCACACACTAGGCAAACCACTGAGCTACATCCATAGCTTTCCTTCAAAATTTTATTTGGGGACAGGGTCTTGTTAAGTTGCCCAGGCTGGCCTCAAACTTTCAATCCTCCTGCCTCAGCCTCCAGAGTAGCAGGAATTACAGGTATGCACCACCACATCTGGCTTCAAAGCACTTCTTTTTATGGATGAAAAAACAAGAGGTTTGTTTTCTAAAGGTTTCATGACTGATGGGTGGCAAATCCATACCCCTTTCTGAGTGGACTACACTTTTCACAACCTCCCTTGGGGGCCTGAAGATGGAGCCCTCCAAAGGCCATAGGTCCCTGGAACTTCTCTCTGGGAGGGTCCTCTCAGCAGCTGCCCCAATAGAGCTTCCTGGGCTGCCCTCAAACACACCTGGACTCTTTCCAAAGTTTATTTGTGGCAGTTGATTCGTCTTCTTAATTTACTCCTCTGTTCTGATGGTCCCAGCTCACTTCTGCATAAACCACAATACCTTCATGCCCTGCCTGCAGACCATCCTGGTGGCTCTAACCAGAGAGCCTCCTGTGAGCTGGCCAGCTCAGGGAACTCCAGATGGGACAGCTGTGGCATTCTGTGACATGCAGGGATAGCAATTAAAGGCAGAGAATTGAAGGATTATACCTTTCTTATAGGGTCAGGTGCAGACCACAAACAGAGCTGTCCCTAAAGGAACCACTCAAGACAGGGACAATGGTTAATGCCTTAGCAAACAGGTCCAAGAGGAGAAGTTTTTTGTTTTTCTTTCTGTGCATTATTACCTGCTGGGTGAAGTTTCTTGGAACTTGAGCAGGCAGATCCTGCCTCTGCAGGAGGTTTGACTGCCTCAGCCCCTGGATAAAGCCTCCTAATCCTTTTAGAAACCACTGAAAGGGAAGGCTGGGCAGGACTGTGCTGGACCCTGTGATAGCAGCTCAACCAAGCTGAGCCCAACTATTTCCTCCCTAGGAAAGATGTCACGTCAGCCATCAGCATCAGCAAGGCTTTTGAAGTAAAATCGAAAGCAATATCCTGTTTGGTTCCAAGTCATGGACGAACACTGACCTCTGTTCTTATCCCTCATTGGTCTCCAAGTTCTGAGAAAAACATACACCAATAAAGACTAAAGAAGGGCTGGGAGCATTGCTGAAGCACTACAGTGCCTGCCTAGCAAGCATGAACTCAGGGGAGTTCAAACATCAGTATCATCAAAAAAAAAAAGAAAAGAAAAGAAAGAAAAAAAACCAAAATACAAGCAACTGCATAGGTTTATGAATTTCACTTTATACTTAAAAAAAAAAAAAAAAAAAAAACACCAGCTGGGTGCCTGTGGCTCACCTGTAATCCTAGCTTCTTGGGAGGCTGGTATCAGGAGGATTGTGGTCCAAGGCCACCCAGAGAAATAGTTTGAGAGACCCTATCTCCAAAATAACCAGAGCAAAATGAATTAGAGGTATGGCTCAACTGGTAGAGCACCTGCTTTGTGAGCAAAAAGCCAAGTTCAAACCTGAGATCCACCAAAATTTAAAAAAAGAGATAGACCCTATTCAAAAAATAACTAAAGCAAAAAGAGCTGGGGCATGGTTCAAATAGTAGAGCACCTGCCTAGCAATCAAGAAGCCCTTAGTCAAACTCAGTACCACCAAGATAAATAAATACCCCACAATTTTACCAAATTAATAAGGACAATAACCTAATGCAATAAATGAACAAACATGAACAGAACAGTCACAGAAAACATGAATAATGAACATTTCAAAAGTTGCCCAACCTGACTGGTAGTCACAAAAATGTGAAAACCAGCATGAGATGCTCTTTCACCCCTCCAGAGTAGCCCAGCAAGTGCTTCAAAGTTTGGCAATACTGAGTGAGTAATTTGGAAAATGGCAAAACTTGGTTGCTGCTGGTGGTCACAGTAGCCTAGCTCCTCCTGAGCCACGTCTAGTAAAGCCACGCACGTCCACTCTTCAACACAGGAATTCTACTGTTATCAATAGAATCGTACAACGCACTGCCCTGCAAACAGAAGGGACGTAAGATGCATAAAAGCATAGTATGTATCCTGGATGACTGAAAAAAAAATACTAAGAGCACTAACTACTCACCTGGCAAAACTGTAACCCCAACAAGTGCAACAACTGTAAACTTTGCAAACCCAGTGATACAATACATCCCTTATAGACTGAGGGACATATTAAAAGCATAAAACTTTAGGCTAGGGAGTAGCTCAGTAGTGGAGTGCTCTAACATGCAAAGAGGCTCTGTGTTCAATCCTCAGCACCAAAAAAAAAAAAAAAGGTGTAACAGGAAGGACATAAAAAGGACTTCAGTTTGATCTGTAATGTTTTACACTGCTAATTTTATTGGCAGTATTGGGGTTTGAACTCAGTGCCTTAAGCTTGCTAGGCAAGTGCTCTGCTATTTGAGCCATGCCCCCAATACCTTTTTTTTTTTTCCTTATTTTTTCAGATGGGCTGTCTCATTTTTTGCCCATGCTGGTCTTGGACTGAGATTCTCTTACCTATGCCTCCCACATAGCTGAGATTATAGCTGTGTACCACCATACCCAGTCTAATGTTTTAGTTCCTCTATTTATATTTTCTGAAATAAGTATAGATTTTTTTTGTTTTGTTTGTTTGTTTTTTGGTAGTACTGGGGTTTGAACTCTAGGGCCTGGTGTTTATTAGGCAAATGTGATACCACTTGAGACACTCCACTAAATTCTGAGTTTAAATTCTACTCAGGTACATAGGTATTTATTTTTCTATCATGTAATGGACTGGGGTTTGAACTCAAAATTTTGAGCCTGCAAAGCAAGTGCTCTACTGCTTGAGCCACAACTCTAGTCCATTTTGCTCTGGTTATTTTGGAGCTGGAGGTCTCACAAACTATTTGCCCAGGGTGTCCTCAAACTGAGATCCTCCCAAGCTCAGCCTCCCAAGTAGCTAGAATTACAGAAAATGTTCTGTATCTTGGGGTGTTGAGTAACAGGTATATACATGGTATAGTTTAAATGTATCCCACAATTTTTTTTTTTTTTTGCAGTACTGGGTTTTGAACTCAGGGCCTTGACTATGGCCATACCACCCTGAACACGCCTGATCTTGTCCGAACTCAGGGCCTACATCTTGAGCCACTCCATCAGCTCTTTTTTTTTGATGGGTTTTTTTGAGATACAGTGTCAAGAACTATTTGCCCAGGCTGGCTTCGAACTGTGATCCTCCTGATCTCTGCCTCCTGACTAGCTAGGATTACAGACATGAGCCACTGATGCCTGGCCCCAAATGTTATGTGTTAGGAACTTCCTCTTTGAATTCCTAGGTTAAGGAGGCCGGACCTTTGGAATGTGACTGCATCATGGAGTAATCCACTCATGGCTTCGTGGATTAATGGGTCATGCAGTAGCTTTGTTTTATTTATTTATTTATTTTATCATCTTTACATTTACTCACATGTGTATACATTGTTTGGGCCACCTCCCCCTACCCTCCAGGCTTTGTTTTAAAAGTGAGCTCCCTATTTGTTTGCTGTTTCACCATGAGATGCCCTTTGCCATGACTCAGGGGAAAGGCCCTCACCAGTGCCGAGCAGAAGCTGGTGCCATGCTCTTGGACTCCTCAGCCTCCAGAACCATGAGTTAAATGAGCCTCTATTTTTTATAAATTGTTCAGTCTATGGTTTTTCAGTTATAGTAGTAGACAACAAAATAAGAGCATTAAAATTCACTGAACAATACATTTAGGATCTGTGCAATTTGCCTTATATAATTAAAACCATAAAGCCTATGGCCACCACCCAACATTCCTTCCCTGAAGGAATCTGCAGACTACACGGAACTCCTAAGGAGTGAGAGTCACAATAAAGATTTTGAACAAGATACTTTATCAGTGGAGGCTTCACCCTTAGCATCTCCAGTGGAACCACTGTTGTATGTGTATTTATGGATAAGTAAAAAAAGTGCATAAGGAGTTATAATATGAGTCCAGCAAACTCTCCCGTGAAGACAGTGGGGCTGGGGATGTAGCTCAGTGGTAGTGTGCTTGTCTAGCATGTGGGTTAGATCCATAGCACTGAAAAATAAATAAGTACAAGAAGGAGCTGGCACATTTCTGAAAGACTGAAATACTTGGGTTTAGGTGGCATTCACACTTCAATTTTTCCCTTGAGTTATTTGTACAGAGCCCCCAGGAGTCAGGGGTGGGGGCCAACTCAAGACATTTCTCCCTTGGTGGGATTGCTATGTCTGGACAGGGTCCAGACCTTTCTAGGATTAGCTCCAGCCTCAAAGAAAAGGCTACCTGCATACAAGAGCAGCTTTTGTCCATCACCCAACAACTCAGCAAGCAGGTATTTATTAACAACTTAATGAGGTTCAGTGCAGATAACATGCCCCAGGCTGCCCAGCTGGTAGGTGGAGTACCCAGGGCAGTCACTCAAGACAATTCAAATTCTTGCTCTTTCCTTTCAGGCAGAATCAGGAACCAGAAGTGACAGGCCTAGGGTGCTGGGTGACAGGCAAGCAGCTATATATGACCAGATCAGAAAGAGCAGAGAACCCAAGTCCAGGAGCTTCCCCCGCCATGGCACCTGCAACACCATGATTCAGTTTTTCCTCTCACCAAACTTAAAGATCTACAGCGCCCACTAGGTGCTTGACACAGAGAATGGCTGGGAATGTGTGCTGAATGTGTAAGCAGCTTGAGGCTTCTGAGGAAGAACACACGGGAGAAATCAGACAAAAGCCCCACATTCAGGAGGAAAGGACACAAGCAGGAGGGATGTGAAGAAGTTAGGCCAGACCCTCAGGAAATTTTCTCTCTCTGGATAAACAGAACTCTTCCAGACACAGAGACAATTTCTCAGAGGCCTAGCTCCCAGACCCTCTGAAGTAACAGGCATGGAGCAGGTAAGTGATCTGCTTTGTTTACACATGAAAACGTCAAAGGTCAGAAATATTGCTATGTAGCCTGATGGGACTGAGTTAGCATCGTATGCTTCAGGGAGTAAGCTTCTGTAGAGTCCTCACAGCCTGAGAGGGTACCCACAAGTCCAAAGGTGAGGCTTAGAAGCTGGGTGGGGGGCGGTGTAGGGTTGGAGATTGGGCTGAATTAGCTTGGGAAGGCACTCTGGTGGGGGGAGGAGGGACTTAGCCAGAAGAGCACCCAGTTCCTTGAGCCAGGTCCCATCCACTGCCCAGCCTGGGTCCCCAGGATTTCCTCAGGACATGAGGCAGAGCGATGTTAGAGAAGTGCAAACAGGCTGGGATGTAGCTCAGTGGCAGAGTGATTAACTAGCATGAGGAAGGCCCTGGATTCAATCTGCAGGGCTGC